AAGCATAGAAGCTTTCTTTATGGATTCATACAGTGAATGCATATCATGGACTGAATTAGCACATTGTACAATTGAAGAAGTCAAATCAAAATTTGACCTCTTGGTAGGATCCACATTTATTTTATTTATTTTCAACTACCCTTCTAGTAGCCGGATTAATGATATGATCTACTAAGGCCCTGTTTGTTTCTGATTCTCAAATCAATTCTCATTTTCAACCACACATTCTTCAATAAAATAATATTTTCCATCACATCAATACTTTTTTCTTCTTTTTCAACCACACATTTCCCATCATATCACTATTCAAAATCAATTCTTCCCCCAAAAATCCCTACCAAACAGGCTCTAAGTCACCATTTGAGCCTATAAGAGGTCGATTTTCCTTGGTTACACGAAGGAAAGAAAAAGCAAACTCTCATTTCTTTGGTCTAAAATATATTCCCTTCAATGTTTGACCTGAATTTTTGAAGTTCTTGTCAAAGTTTTGGTGATAGTGTTCAAATAAAACTCAATTCACGGTGTAGAAACTTAGTACCCATTTTCTATTGATTTTTCTGTTGTATTATGGGAGATGGATGCTCAACGAAATTTCAAGTATTTATAATGAGGAGTAACTCTATTTTAAGGATATATTACTAGGTAGGTCTGCGTCGAGTGGATCAGTTCGAGTATTTCAATACCCGGAACAACCTACTATATTTCGAGTATTTCGTAAATATAACAATTCGGGTCTTTGTAAAAATTGGAACCAAATCCAAATCCGAGTTGTCGGTTCCTATTCGTTTTCGGTTCTATCCAAACATTTTTTATATACAAAGTAATATGTTACTATTCAAAAATATTTGTTAAAGGGAGAAAGTTTAGCTAAAAAATCTTGAAGAAGTAAAAATTTATCTTGGATTTTTTAATTCATAAAAGCCCAAATTATAAAGATTAACATGTACTAACATTTGAAAGGGAAAAATTCATAAATAAGGTGTTTAGTTTACACCAATTCAAAAATCATTTTTATAATTTAAAAATTCAAAAATCAGGTTTTTTTTCTTTCTAATATAATATAATAAACCCACCCCACATGCACCACCCTTCCTGCTCCGGGGACTATCCCAGCAACCATTCCGACCACCACTCTTCTCCAGCGACTACTCTTCTCCGACAATCATTTCGGTGACTGCTCCGATTCCAGCGACTATTCCGACGACCATCGGCGACTATTCCGGTAATCATTTCGGTCACAGATTTATAATTTAATTAGACACATATTATTTTTCAGTCACAAATAATAATTTTTATACGTCACATATTATTTTATGGTCACAGTTCAAAAATTTTATAGGTCACATTTAATTCGTTGGTCACAGATTTTAAAATTAGTTGGTCACAAATCAAAATTTATAGGTCACACGGTCACAGATTTCCAAAGTAATTGGTCACAGATTTTTTACGATCACAAATTATATAATTTTTAGGTCACAGATAAAAAAAATGGTTAATTTCATTGATCATCTATTTTCAAATTTGTTGGTCACAAATTATTTTTCAGTCACATATTGTCAAATTTTTAGGTCACAGATAACCAAATACTTGGTCGCATACCACTAGCACTACTTCAACCACCATCACCACATAAAACATTGCCACCACCCATAGCCACCAAACAAAGCACTACCATCCCAACATAACTGTCTCCACCGTCGACACAACCACTAGCAGAAACCATCACAACCACCAGGATCACGACCACCACTAGAAACACAATACCAATGCCATCGCCAACAACAACCACCTGCACGACTATCTCATCCAACCACCACTGAACAACCACCAACACCACTACTACATCACAACCGGGATAGACTTCACATCAATCTGGATGCCCACCACTAAAACACCAAACCGCCACATCAACACCACCGTTCTCACAGATTAACCACCATCGCACAATAATATACCACCACGACACCATCACACATTTCATCCCACCGCGACACCACCAC